CCGCGCAAGATTCCTTTGACCCTGATCGAAACTATTGCTGTATCGATAATATTGGGTACAACCTCTGCCTGTTATAGGGCAACAGTGCCTGTTCAAAACTTAAAGGCATATTCCGCAAGTAAATCATTTGAACAATCTCTCTCATAGTTGAGATTGCTAGGACCAAATTTCCAGAGGTGATGTCGATTACGAGGCATCCCGTCCATAAATTGAGATTATTCGCCATGAGCCTTGTGAAACTCTATCTTGTCGCGCACTTTCGAGCCGCGACGAAGGCAAATCTGTACCACTCGTGGGCTACCCTATCCTACCCACTGAATAGATTCATCGTCATTTCTTCTGGGGTGTTACTTTAGGTATTCTCGCAGGGTTTATCTTCGAGTTTTTATTTTCTTTTTCCGCCCACTTCATTGTTCTGCACTCATTCTAGCGCAGACTGCTCCTCCGAAATTATCGTAAGGTAACCCTTCAATAACAATCACGTCCATGAAGCTTTCTTACAAGTTGGTTTTTTATCTGAAAAATTTAATTTGATACACAAAAACACTTACTCGGTGGTATCGAGCATCTGACCATCATCGCTGTCCTCTGAAGTACCATTAGACATTTTTCGACGATGGAATCGTGGTGTTCCAAGGAATGAGTTTTTGATATTGGTCAGCTTCGACTTCCATGGACCAACTGACGCGTTAAGACTAGTCTGGCTGCTTCCTAAAATAAAATCGTTTGCAATTCTTTGATCTATGATGAGCTTTTCTTCCAACCAAGGTGTTCATCAAGCCATTTGGCCCGCCAATATCAGAGCATAGCCTATGCTCTGAAAACACTTAGAAAACGCATATAATTCTACCTGTCACCAAGCTGGTGGAGGATGATGTAGTAGATCCAAGTCCTGTACTAATAATTGAAGTTGATGTTTTCGGAGGTGAAGTGTTCTTAGTAGCCTGAACAGGAAATACTTACATCATGTGTCATGCTAGAACTTCGAAGCAGAGGTGGTGTGCTGGCAAGTGGCGCCTTTTCCGAAGTGTACGGTCCGGAAGATCAAATCCTGGGTCGAATCTCGCCCGGGCCAACCAAGCCTTCCATCCCTCCGGGGTCGGTTAATTGGTACCAGACTTGTCTGGGAGGATAAAAACACTGACTTGTACATCGGCTGGCCCCCGCAAGTCATTGTATAGGCCACGCTCGCATTCAAATGCCATTACGATTCATTGTAAAATGCGTAGTGTATCCCAGGAAACTGATCAACGCTGAAAGTAAGGCCTTCTATCCTTTAGTGCTGTTTGAGGAACTTCCTTGACCAACGCATATTGCCGATGGCTAAATTCCTCCACGAAAGCTCTGAACGAAAGGAATGAGGGACTCCGTGTCCCTCGAGCAAGGAGGATCCACTGGACCACCCTTGCACGCGACAGGGACGAATGGAGACGTTGCTGGCGCCCGCTCGAGCAATTCGATGATCAACGGGACGACAGGTGATACAGGTAATACCGTATCACCTAGAGAAGCTGGATACTGTTTTTCACCCTTCTTGCGCTCTCTTACAATAAGCGAGAATCATTTCGGGGCTAGCTGGTTTGCTTTGGGTTTAACGATCAGTGAACCGCAAGTCAAGAGTATATTTTTGATATAACTGACCTCAAATTCGATGTTTGTGCGTTTCGTCTCCTGCCTACGTGCTGTATCTACGTTACGGCCCTGATTTCTGTCCTCTTGAACTTGTAGGACCTCACGATTTTCTACTCGTTCCTTTTCTTGGCGAACAGCTCGCACTTGTTTTGCTGCCTCAGCTAGCGTTTGTGGATCAACCGGTTGAGTGTAGTAGTGATAGTTGTTGGCATTCCTGTAATAATTTTAGCCTAAAAAAGGTGCTAGAAAGAGTGATATGTGCATTTTTACATATTAGAGAGCAGGCAAAGTGAAACGCTTTCCTTTTGTGAGATTTAATTGTAATCTGTCGTCAATTCAATCAATTTTAACTATCAGCAGCGTATCTCGAAAGCACCTCGAGGAAAATCAAATTTGATTTTTCAAAATTGCTGAGATTATAAATGAAGAGCTAGTATCGAGAACATTCAGAATGTTTATTTGCAACAGAAAATGAGCAGAAGCATCCAAAGCGGATGAATGCCTGGAATGCTGTGAAAAAGTGCACATTTGAGTATTCGAAGCTGATTTCACAAGAAAAGGCAGGCCCATTGGAAATCAAGTTAGAGATGGTCAGTGATGCACGAAAGAAGAAAAACCCGAGAAAATGGCCTAGAACCCGAGAAATGGGCCTTCCTTGCCCGTTGATTTGCGCATTGATGCGACTCTCATCGGTGCTGCCCTCTTCAACGCTAACGCTCTCTCTGCTGAACGGCTAGAGACTCAGACACGAGACGACGCGAGAGGGGGGCGTACCGGGCCAATACGCGCGAATTGGGCGCGAGGAGCTATGCTAGATGGCCGAAGGATATCCTTCCATGCGAACTGTCTGTCCATCCCACCAGCCCACGAGGTCCGCCTGTCTCTCCACTCGATAAGTTTCCCCTTCTCCAACCTTCTCCCTTATCGTTCGATCCTCCTTAGAGGGCACCATGCATAGAAAATCACAGCTTCTGTTTCATCCAAGGATCGTCACATTAGGCTCTCCTTCTTTAGAACCCGTAAAAACGAAGCAAACATGAAAGAACAGCTATGAAGAGGATTCTATGTTGTATCGTTACTTGCAATTGCATTAGGCGCGCTCTTGCGTAACTGTGTATGAAACAAAGTGCGGATAAGCTGCGGTAGATGGCACGCTATTACGCTCAAGAATCCTAGTTTTAGGTGAGATCTTGTCTTTCTCCTATAACGTGTCTTGTAAATGTGATCCATTGTTTTCAGGTTCAGTTGGTCCAGTCTTAAAGTGTTCCCCTACTTACGAGCCATTATGGAACCACGAGAACTCACAAAGCTACTATCGAAAACAAGCATTGCCTACCCTCATCTTCCTTCCTTCCATCAAGTCATGTAGTTTTTATTAGCCGCCGGAAATTTTCCATTCATCAAAGTGGAATAACCAAATAAAAGCACTCAGTGCATGCCTGGCTCTTACAGCCTTCGCGCAGCCCACCGCACGCACCTCATCCTGTTTGCTTGTCGAAAAATTCTATCCACAGCCGATTAACTTCTCCACCACTCCCAATCCTGCTTTGGTTCCCTCGCCTCTATACAACATCGCTGATCCTGGGACGAACTCAACGGTGCGGCCACCTCCCCAGCTCTCCCTATTTCCTCACGATAATCGTGCGGTCTCGTACCCAGGAAGCACACCTTATTGACGCTTTTTCCTACCCCTCTCAATTAGGAACTATGTGCTTCTTGCTCAAGCAACGCAATCGTGTACGCTCCTCCCAGTCTACACAGCAGTAATAACGAAGAGTGGACCTTGAGCTCAGAAATCCTCGACAAGGCAATTTAACGGTTAAGTGGACGAAGTTGGAAGTTGTAGAAACAGGATTCAGCATCAGAAAAGTTGTAGAGGAGAAGTTTCGAAATGTGGTAGCCTTCTTGAGAGAGGAAGAATGCAGATAAATACTCATTTAAATGCAGGAATCATAACGGTGCGGTTTCGATGATGTAACAAACGTCATGGATGAACTAGGGCCTTAGCGTACTGAGGTTGTGGCTGGGACCGTTTACTGACGCCTTCCACCATTTTACAACGACTCCATCAAAACCGTACTGCACCGTCACCTGCTCTCACGATGACGGTACAGTTTTGATGAAGTCGTTGCCCTTATTTTCTGTTGCAATTGTGAACGTAGGTCAAGGGTCGGTTTCTACAAAGTGGCCGATTCACTCAAAGCTACAGCTTGCTTGCCTTTTTCCGTCCCGTACTCGGGCTGCACTCACTCCCCTCCCCCACCCCTCACCACAATTTGTCCAGTGTTCATTTTCAACAACCGATATGTGGACTTTAGCTCGCGCATCACCTCCCTGAGGGCACACTCCTCCTTCTCCTAGTGCACATGTACTTTTACTCCAGCTATGCACACATTACCTTGGATGCTACACATCTACATAAATTTTTTGGAACCAGAAAAATGTAGCGAAAAGTTTTGTCTGAAGCGTAGCCTTTCCGTAGTGCGTCCCACCCAATGCGAGTAGATGTCCTTATCCTTGGACCCACCTTTAATGGTCATATTTTGAAATGAAATTTCAACTTTTTGATTTTTGTAACGAGTGTTTTAATCACTTCAGCTAACATCATGACCACCGTTGACGGGTCTCTGTTCCAATGTTTCGTAAAATTTAAAAAAAATGTCGTGAAATGGAGGAAATCAAACAGGAAATAGTGGTAGGTAAAGCGCCTACCGAGAGGAAGATCGTCCTCTATCTTCTTGCGTTCTAAGTGAATGGACGTCACTGCTGCAGCACGCATAAAGATCCCGAGATGATGAACGAGGAGATTCGGTGGGAGACCCTCCACGGCTGTAGTGCCGAGCAGAACGATGTCGGCTGCAATCAATGAAAATTGGAAAGGCGTTTCACAAGTCGAACGAGTTCCATTGAAGGTGTGAACATCAAGTACGCATGGAATTTCTACACTCTGAGATCTGTTTGTAAAATTTTGATAATCTTGAAAAATTGGGTTTTAAAGCAGCTCAAACCTACTTCCCATGGCCTCACTAAAAAGCTATTCATGTCACAATTCAGGATTCATCGTTATATAGCAGGATGAATAACAGAAATTCCTCGACCATGGCTCTCTACTGTGCGAGAGTAGTGTCGAGAGTGAATGCACGCGCGGAGAGCACAGACGGCTCGCGGGTGGCGAGAGTGAATATCCGCGCGGGAGAGCGTGACTGAACAGGCAAAAATCCTCGACGAGCCGTTGCCGTTTCCTCGAGCGATTTCACCCTGGTATTTAGAAACTTCACTAAAGGCAAATGGTACGATAATTTGGTACTTGTTACAAATGATGGTAAAAGGTAAAAGAATAAAGGATAAAGCATTTGCCGTTGATCAATCCCTTTTTGGGATGCGGCACGCATTCTACTTCCATTTGTACATTCGTAGTGGCGTTTGAATGCGATGTGGCCTATACAATGACTTGCGGGGGCCAGCCGATGTACAAGTCAGTGTTTTTATCCTCCCAGACAAGTCTGGTACCAATTCCGAGGGGATGGAAGGCTTGGTTGGCCCGGGCGACTCACGACCCAGGATTTGATCCCCGGACCGCTCGCGTGGTGAGCGTGCCACTTGCCACTACACCACTTCCGCCCTTTGATAAAAGTGAGCGGTAGAAATGACCAAAAAACGGTCCAAGCCTGAAAATTACCCCCCCCCACCCCATTCTGTTATAGGATTTCCGCAATCAAGGAGTCAGCGAGTCATTTGGCTGAGTTCACCTCTAAAGCTGGCATCATACCACCCAAAATCATGCCAAGCGCTTAACATAGATAAACAACACAAAGATGCGGGCGCTCGAAGTAAACTTCCCACACAAAATGTAAGGCGAACGATGGTGACAAGACTATCAACATCGATCAGGCCGATGTCATAGTTTGCGAATCGAGCGATTCGCTAGCGAATCGCCAGCGAATCGAACGTTGCACCAGCGAATCGAACTTTGCGCCAGCGAATCGAACGATGTACCAGCGAGTCGAACTAGGTACCAGCGACTCAATAGTGGCGGGACCCAACGTTCAAAGGAAGCCCGCCACTTTCAAACAGTGTCACGTGACAGTGGACGCTGTTTGAAAGTGGCGGGACTTGACAGTGGACACTGTTTGAAAGTGGCGGGCTTCCTTTGAACGTTGGGTCCCGCCACTATTGAGTCGCTGGTACCTAGTTCGACTCGCTGGTACATCGTTCGACTCGCTGGCGCAAAGTTCGATTCGCTGGTGCAACGTTCGATTCGCTGGCGCAACGCTCGGATCCAGCGATTCGCTAGCGAATCGCTCGATTCGCAAACTATGACATCGGCCTTCGGCCGCCTGTGGGCGGAGCTTTCTATTAAGGCGGCCGTCACGGCGGTTTAGGCCTCGCTAGGCCGCCAGGGCGCGCCGCAAAGGAGCCACTATGTACTAGTCCCCTTGACAATGACAATGACATTTTTTCTTTTTGAGCATCCCATTCATCGTACCACCTGCCTTCATAAAATATGCATGCCCATATGGGTGCTTAGGCTTCTGAATAGACCGTGCTTGGACATTCGGAGAATTTTCTCCAGCCACAGTATTTCCTCACTAAAGATGAACAAGGTGAAAGGTCCGCAAAAAAAGCCTGCGTTAGAGAGCAGATAACGGAAGCATATTCGCTGACATCGAAATTCATACTTATAACGATATCTGTAGAATTGATATCCATAACGTAACGATGACTTACCCGTATGCTTTCCTAGGATTGATAGGGCTGCCGTCGGCTATACTGCCTACGGCATATCTAATGGCTCGAGCAGAGTCGGTACGTTTCTTAGGTGGATCATTGTGCTGAGCTGATCCTCGAAGAATGATTTCTGTCTCGTCCTCTTGCGCTGGACGCCGTCGCTTCCGGTCCAGCAGCAGAAAATATACCATTTTTTCAGTGTTGTGCCTTAAATCAAAAGCCTCGTTCATGTTCGATCCTAATGTTCTCTACAGGTAGCTTACTGGTTACTAACCTAGCTGAAAGTAATTCATCTATGAGTTTTTGCTTGTCCTTGAAACATCCCAGGTTATTCATATGTCGGAAAACGTCTGGGTCGATACTTTCTTCACTCGGAATAATATGTGTCTGTTAAAAAATCACGATTAAGGCAGGCATCATATAATAAAGTTTAATCCTATTGCAAAGGCCAGCGATATAATTTAAAAAGAATTTAGGGACAACCAAGTTCTGGAGAGCATTACGGGCTACTGACTTGAAGACAAACACCGAGATAAAGCTGATTCATAAGAACGCACCCTAGTGATGAATAATGCGAAGGAACTGTCAAGGTGTCAAAGAAAGCGAAAGAAGTCATCGGAAGCGCTAAAATTAAGGTCTTGATCTCTAGTAAGACGGATGTAGTACGAGAGGCGAGGCAAAACGATCAGAGAAGACAGAACACGCCGTTCGAGAGCGCACCTGATCTCCACATCAATGGCGGTGGGTGGGAAGCGTTGCAATAAGGGCCGATGGTTGCAGCACCTTAACGATTAGCGCCCTAACCGCGCATTTTGTGCGACGGTGTGGCACGCTTCTGTAGGGAAGGACAGCAAGTTTCTTCGCAGTATCCTTCCTTCCAGTTGGGTTAATCCCAGGGGTTGCCTTTAAACATGGAGGGGCAAAACCCATGCACTAACGTAGAAGAGTGATAACATATGCGGAATGCTCAGACCGATAGGCACCTGGTGGACCGCACCCATGATTGAGGACCGTAGATGCACTTACTGATGATGGTATCATGCCATCTGATGGAGCTCCTCGCTGAAATCATGGGTCGTTATGCGAAGAAGAGTTAGGCTAGTGCAGACATTGCGAATCGGGCGATGTGCTCGATTCACTAGGCGCGGTATCGGCCTGAACATGGTCAACGACTCCCCAGCGTGGGGCAGTATTTGCCTTGAAATCTATGTGGAAGGGAGGTCATTCGTAGGTTTTCGCTGGCTGTATATAGGTACTGTGGGTGGTAAACAAAATATGGCATGAACTGTAAAATCCGCTGTTTCAGCAGCCAAAGACGTACATATCCCCTCTCTCAATCGACGACAACTCGAGAGAGATTTTGTGGGTGGGGTTGACATGGGTCAAGTGGTACCATCTCCAGGTACATGATACAAGTACGTTTGAGACCCACGAGAGTGGGGGTGGGGGAGGGCGGGTCGTATTACCATGGGGGGCAGAGGAGGACTGGAGTGAGACCTCCGTTCATGAGGTTCGTATTGCCTTGACCATTTTGTGGGTACGATATTCACCCTGATGGAAGGACATCTAGAATGTTCAGAATAAGGCGACAACGAAGAAGTGGAAGCTAAGAAAGGCAGAAAGGCCGAAAAATGAGACGAACAAGAAGAAGACATTGAACAAGATGAAAAGGACAAGGGAAAGGAAAAGTAGTGTGTTTCCAAACCATTATCAAATAGCTGATTAGGCTATGTAGCTTTAGCTTGGCTGAATTTGTGACATACTCACCTGAACAACCTGCGACATCGGTAATTCAAGTTCAGGCTCGCTTCTTGTTGTACCAGCTACCCATGGATGTCGAAAGACGTCCGCTAACTGATTTAATTCAATCAATAATATTTATCGACAAAGCAGTCGAGCTCAATCTGCTATTCGAGAAAACTGCAGCAGAGAGCTCTGTAAGAATGCAAGAAATTTTACCGAATATCTTTTGAATGGATCTACTTCTATCATTGCTCGCAATAGACTCTGCACATCTGCCGGTACAAAATGTGGTATGTGAAATACACCTTTTTTGACTTTTTCTAGTAAATTTCGAAGATTGTCATCGTCGAATGGGAGGGCACCCTGCAAGTAAATAAGAAGAGAAAATAATAAAGTAACGGCGCTAACTTAGTGAAGAGGGAGGGGGAAATCGCCGCTGCGGCGTGCAGCATGTCAACTGGCACATTCCAGCCAGAGTCAACCCTGCGTTGCGCAGTTCGCAACGGCACGTTGAGAGATCCTCAACGCACGCTGTATGGGCGGAGACGCAGACGGCTCGAGCATGCGAGTGTGAATGTTCGCGCGAGAGAACGTGTCTAATCGGGCGAAACTGCGCAACGTGGCCGTTGAGAACTGCGCAACGCAGGGTTGACTCTGATTCCAGCTTTCCACACTTGTCAAGTAACTCGCCTCAACCCTTACCCCTTTAAAGGCAAAGTTCGGGCTCAGACCCACTTAATGAGCCTTTACGGTGGCTAGAAGCGCTAGGTACGCAAGTGTAGAGGTCGCGTCACTTCCCTACTTCGAAAAGCGTTATTTAGACGCTAGGCGCTAAGAACTTTGACACGCTCCACCTGTTGCGACACGCTCCGCCCACCGCTCGATATCTTGTCTGCGTCGCTAACTTGATCTGCTATGCTCTCTCTACTCGTACTTCTCTAGCGCTCTCCGCGCTCACATTATCTCTCATCTCCCTGCCGGCCTTTTGAACTTCTCCGCAGCGTAGAGCAAAAGGCTCGTATTTCCTGTGTATTTCACGATTTTTTTTCCTTTTTTCTCCACTGGCGGTCCACTTCCTACCCCTACTTTCACATTTGAGTGGAATTACCTCATAATTTAATCCTGAATCTTGCCTTTAAATTGGATCACTCCCCTCAGTCACGGATTCCTCGTTTCACACTGAAGTTTGCGAACATGCCGCGCCACGGTAGCGGCTGCCCTCCTCCCTCCCAGCTACGTTAGCACCAAGGAAACTTCCAAGTAAAAGACAAAAAGTTTTTTCGCTCACCACTAGTAAGGCGTAGAGGATAACACCGCAACTCCATACATCTGCTTTTCTACCGTCATATTTTTCGCCCTGTTCGTGTTTATATTACTGACTGTAACAAATATTAGTGCTAATGTGACCACATACCCTTATCACTTCCGGGCATGCATAATGTGGTGAACCGCAGCTAGTTTCAAGCATCGATCCCTCAACTTGAAGGGAAGCCATACCAAAGTCGGCAACTTTGATATTATTCCTCTCGTCCAACAACAAGTTCTCGGGCTTCAGATCTCGATGACTGTAAGAATTAATCATCAGTAATTTTGTCAGCATAATTTAGTTGTAAACAGACCATATATTGTGGGCGTGGCAAAAATCGAGGGCCGATATAATCTGGCGGAAGAACTTCCGTGCCTCTTTAGACATGAGCCGACCTTTTCGAACAAGGTAGTCAAAAAGTTCGCCTCCACTGACATGCTCAAGCAATAAATATCTGCAAGTAATGCACACGCATTTTGAGTACAATTATTCCGATAAAAAATTATCAATCTAACTTACAAATATTTTTTATTTTCGTACACATCATAAAGGTGCAATACATGTGGATGTTCTATGAGCTTCATAATTGCGATTTCTCGTTCAACCTAAAAAAATTGTATACATATATTATCAATAAATCGCTGCATTCAGTAAATCGCTGCATTTCACTAAGTTTTTTATTCCTTATGCATACACCGCCAATTTTGATCGATACTATCCTTTATCGAGAATTCTCGAAAGTGGGTCCGTTTTCCCCTTGATTGGAACATGAATACGTCAGTTATTGCACGAGATTCTTTGATTTTTTTATTTTTCGAATGATTGTTACTTGGATTGTGCCAAATCCGCCGCTTTTGGCCCGCTGCTGATTTTGGCACGCATGGGATGACACTGCAAGGCACCTCCCATAATTAGACTCTCATAGTCAAAAGCTCAAGCGAGGAAGTAGAGGTGCGAAGTGGACCGCTGGTAGAGGAATAAGCGGCGAAACTCCAGTTTGAAGGACCACTCCCTGTAATTTTATCCCTAGTACTAGAGAACACTCCTTTGAAACCTAGCACTAGACGATAGTAGCTAAACGGCTCATTTGATGTGTACTTTTATAAGGACGTTTATATGCCCTACATTACACGCATCCTGCTCATCCTGCTCACATCCTACACAATTTATAGCACGTGAGTCCACCCTGGGGCTCCTACACCACTAGGCTTAGGCAAGGATGCCAATAAACTAGTTTAGGACCATTTCCTCGAACCAAAGCAGGCTAAAATTTGAAAGCACCTTGGGGAGTAGTTTTTTGCTACACCAGTACTATCAAAAGTATATTCTCAATGAATCGATCACGTGTCATGAGAACTCTTCTCCTCATCGTTAGTGTTGGAGAGCACAATGAAGTGCACCCTACCCCTCCAAACTGGAGTTCACCGGAAAAGACGAAGGAATTCGTCGAAGACGCTAGAAAGAGGACCTTCTTTCCCTAGATGGGTAACGTGTCAACGAGACATTCAAGAGGAGAGGAAGAGGGAGAGAGAGGGAGAACCAGAGAGAACAGAAGGACAGACGTATGAGACGAGAGCATATCAGGGGGCGAGGGAGCCCAGACATCTCTTCAACTAGATCGCCACATCGTGAGGAAGAGGAACAGCGGCGCCCATAGAAGGGCTCTACCTCACTTATCGCGCACTTGTCGCGCACTTTAGAGTCACGCGGAGCACCTTCCACCCTTGCGGTGGCCTCATTATACTCATGGAAAAGGTTAATCCAACGAAATATCCAGGAAATTTGTCGTAGGCTGAAGCATTCAGAATAATTGGACTCATTACGCGTTCAAAGCAGCGCAGGGCATCTGTCACAAATGCTGGCGACGGGAATTCTCGGAGTGCTTTCACTAGAAACTCTTTCTGGCCTTTTGACTTATTGCATTCACATCTTACACTTCTACTCCATCCTATTCTATCGATCGATTTGTCTCTACTCTCCGAAATCGCGCGCTTTAACCCGATTCTTTCATTGCGTCGCCTGATACGTAGCCGCCCCAAGGCGGACTTCTTTCCATGCCCCTTTTGGCTCCGCCCCACTCCTTCGATTGTCCATAGAGTGTGGTTTTTGTGGGTTGTTTCTCTTCGGAAACCGAGTCTATGTCTCTAGTCATCACAACTGACATATTCGTGTTGAGAATGAATGCAAGATTTCCCCGTGAAGGATTCCTTTAAGTTCTCCTCCTAGTCAGGTCACCAAAACTGCGTTGTGATTGAAGTTCAGGTTGTGCATAGGCTTAGTCTCCGACCTAGCTTTACTATTACAGATTGTATGCTTAAGCCTTGGGTTGGGCTTAGGCCTAGACTTAGGCTTGTTACGAGCAAATGAGCGGTGTACTAATCTGAGGTGACTTGACATGGAAGGAGGAGCGCTATACGCCAAGGATTTGTGCAATCTTCATGCTGAGCCAATATGTCGGACCACATATTGGACAGACATGCCCAATTAACTACCTAAATAAAATTATTGAGTGCGGTCGATATTAAAGCTGTGGGCTTACACAAACAGCGGTGTGGCTGGTTTGAAGACTGTTGAAAAGACCAAGATTATGAGTCAAACTCTGAAGGGTGTTATGGACAGAAGTCGATGGGTCGTGGGGGTTGTTTACAAGAGGCTAAGAATAACATTGACAGTCGTTACTTAAGATGCGGTCCAGCGATGATGGTGTTAATGTGGTTGGTGTTCAACATCGACCATCTGGTCGGGAATGGACCCCAATTATTTTGCCTCAATATTTATGTCCCTCGAAGATGAGCTAGGCCAACCATACCTTTTACCCTGTCAGGGTCAATGAGTGGTACTGAATTTTGGGAGTAACTATAGCGATACGTGTACTCCCGGGATTGTATGGGCAATAACCCGAATGCGTTTACAATTCCAAATGGAAGTTGGTGGCGCAATCCACTAGGATTGCTAACGCCGAATTTTTGTTCATGCCCCAGTTTATACAGCGAAATGTTTACCTCCCCAAGGTGCCACATACCGAAAGTTCGAGAAGAATCTGACTGGAAATTCCGGCTCATTTAAAGGTTTTTGAGCCATTGCGGAAAACAAATTTGTGTTTCCTTCGCAGACAGAATTGCGAAAACTTCAAGGCTCTCCCTCTATGATTAGCTGGAGCTTACATATATCCTATTCATTCCAATAAGGCCCAGAAGCGGCAAATACTGAGATAGAAAAACATATTATATTAATGCAAATAAAATAAATGATACAAAAAAGGCAGCATCAGCTGGGCTTTCTAATTTGATAACGATCGCAGTGCCTTCTAGATAATCATGTATCCTATGTATCAATATCCTATTGTGTTTGACATTTCCTAATACACACCAGACACTAAATTTTTGACCTATTGTGATCCGCGTGATGCACATGCGCACCACGCGAACACACAGAGAATCTTTGCCTGATCTGGGTAGAGTTCAGGATGTCATTACGAACTTTCTTTCACTTTCGGAAACGGGAATCAGTATATGTTTCACCACAGTTAAATCATTGGTAGGTAGTAAAAATTATTGGTGATCCGTTCACGAGATGAGCTCGACATTTTACTTCTAATCGAGCTCGTAAGGGTATCTAAATGCGAATCAGGGTCAACCCTACGTTGCTACAAGTAGCAACGGGGGGTCGTAGTTTGTTGAAGTTTGTGGTGGGGGGTCGTACTTGCTTCGGTTGTAAGAAGTTGCATGTGATGAGTGGAGAGCGCGCGGGAGAAAATTTGCCGTTTCAGCGCGCGTATATACCCCCTAGAAAATGGAGCAGTGGAAATATAGGTGAAAAAGAGGGAAATGGGGGGAAAATTTTGCGGTTTCATGGTAGTTATATACCCCTCCCCCCCCTCGACGGTGTTTTTTGAGGGAAAAAGTGGTTGTGAAGAGGGGGTCGTATGAAACTTCTCGTGAAGGGAGGGGGGTCGTAAAAATTTTGCAAAAAGTATCAACGATAGGACCGACCCTGATGCGAACTAGGCTACAAAGAGACTTGCTAGTCAGCCAAAAAATATCAGTGTTCCTATCTCCCACACGAGGCTGGCACCATGTCAGTCACATTGAAGTAATGGCTGTATTAATTGTGGTGAGTGGTATTTAATCCGTGATTTGACCCCTGAATCGTGCGCGTGCTATCATGCCCATTAATTGCCGAACACTCCAGAACGGCGTCGCTCCTCACGTCACAGCAGCTTTGCCCGAATGGCCCATTCCTCTCAGTAAATGCAGCGATCGATACGCGTGCTTATCATGCCCAGTAATTGCCGAACATGTGCCCATTATTGCAGAATGGTCGCTGCTTTTGAGAACAGCGCATGAGTGCTCGGAATCTTCAAGCGATATATTCGCTTACAATTTGGAATAAATAGCCTTTCTCGCCTTCATTTCACGGCTTCTACCTCACTTATCATGAAACAAGCAATTTATGAGAGGTCCTTGGCATAAATTTTATTAGTGCTGCGCGGAGAGCTTCGTGAGAAGAGCATTGCGCCGGCAAGCAACACACCCGATTTGCACTCAAACGTGTGATCTGGAAGGAAATTTTGGCACTATCGCAACATATGGGGGCACTAGGGAGGCAACGTATTTTAACCCGCACCAAATGTTCCTTCTTCCTATGAGAACTCAGCCTTAGGCGAGGGGAAAGGCTCTAGGGAGCGTGAACAAATTCCATTTTCCCTAGAGTTCCTGTCCCGCGTACTGGGATGAAGGAAGGTTCCCTCTAATATTCTTCTTTCAAAAGGTCCTATTTTCCTCTTGAGCTCAGTCCTGAGGGCTAGCCCCGCATCTTGCGATAGCGCCGCAATTTCTATGAAGGAACTGAATCTCATACTTACCTTCTGTAGAACGGAGTCGCTCAATTTTTCTTTGTTAACAATCTTGATTGCGACTTTCCTTCCCGTAATGCAGTGCGTTCCCGTCTTTACCAGCCCTAAATGACAGCCTTTATTTCGTAATAAAAAATGCGGAAAATTTTTCTGTTTATTCAGCTTCCGGATACAGGGACTTGAGCAGATTCGCCGCTAATATCCTTCGTAAATGGGTTCGTGTAAAGATTCACACAGTTTGGAAGCTCAGCTCTCACTATTCATAAATCCGTTGGCTCTCAGAAGAAGGAAATTGTACTCTGAGCAAAGGTCTCGATGCTTTGCAGTACAAGCGGGAATATTTGCAATTTTAGCAAAAATAATGGCCCTGTTTTCCATCCGATATTTGCTGTGAAAAACTGGGGAGTAAGGACCAATTCCTTGAACCAACAGTTTACATTCCTCGAACACTAGCAACCACAGCTTGAAGAAAAAAGGGAGAACCCAAAAGAATAATTTCATTTTTTCAGCGCATTGGAGCTTACAAGCTAGTGCTTGTTTATACGAGCTTGTTGGTGCAGAATGCTGATCAAAATCATTTTCTGTTAATGATTTTTCGTAAACTCCGCTAAGATCGATATCGCATTTTTTCTGTGGCATGATTTTTCTAGTTGGTTTGAGTTTCAAAATCCAAAACAAACGGGATATAATTTTTGCTAAAATTACAAATATGATTATTTTTCTTGGCACTTGATAACAAAATATAATAAATTCCTAGCAGGAGTTTGGTGATTAGAATATCGTCAAGTGAGTTAACGTAATTTTCTTAGTCTGAGCGTTTGAGTCAAATTATTTAAGATTTGTTCATTTGAATATTTACTTCAATTTATTTATTTTCAGTTCCCTAGGAACGACTAGCAGAGCGCTGAACAAAATGTCGAAAATGTAAATATCACTTCTGAGGGATGCTCTGAACTGCGTAGAAGTCAGTCTCTCAAAAGTGGTCCCATGGGATCCTTCGGAAGCGTCGATGAGCATGAACGTCTCTGCAGGCCCCATTTCTCGATAGTCGATACTCACGTGGCCTATGCCACAATACGCTCCCTTTCAAACATGCTCTAGATGGAGCTCATGCTCATGCTCCTGTTCGCTCATATAAGTCTATACAATCGGAAGAATGGTTAGGAACGTACGACCACGATAAATCATTCAAATGTAGAACTTTCACAAGAAGCAGGTCAACGAGAAATCGATAGGTGATTGAATTTTCTGCTTCAGATTGTCAAAACCTCAGAACTTACGCTTAAAAGGTTTCCTCCAGTATCACTATAGTGAGCCTAAGCGGATCATTCCTCATGGATTAGAGGAAAGAAGTTTCAAAATAAAACATTTCCAAATGACTACGAGCAATCGAATGGTCAAAAATAACACTCGACCACGGTAGTGACTTTGAGGAAAAATTCCGGGACAAAATGGGAAAAATTGTTGGGGTGATAGAAATTGTCCGAAATAGTCAAGCGATGGAATGGAAATTCACGGAATTCAATGGTGCAAGAAACAATTTCATTCAAAAATAATAATTAGCAAGGAAGGATTGCATTTGACGATGCTACCGTAGAGCTAGTTATTTGGTTCAGAAATTGTAAGAAAACACACTGAAAAGTCTGAGCCGATAGTCATTATTTCTTCTCTGAATAAAATGCATATATAACAAAATAAGCAAAATTACCGGTTTGCCCCTTGCCAAGGGTTTTTTCGAGTTTGTATGGGCCACAATACTGGGCTTGTTGAGCTGGTCGTAATGTGTTCACACTCTCGGCCATCTTAATGTTCAGCTCATCATTCACTGCCATCAACTTCGTGTTGATCTCGCCAAGTACCTCCTAAGATATTGTCATAGAACTCATTGTTAAATTTGTTAATTGGGCAGAAAAGGATCAAAAAATGTGATCCCCGACTTTTTCTGAGAACCAGCGCCGTCCGAAGACTGTGGAAAGATGGCTGCCAGGAAATTATGATGTCAACGGCGGCAATCCTCATCAAAAGTGGAAAGTTTGCTAATATTTTCTATTAACCTACTCTTAGAGCTCTGATCATAGAAGATTACGCCCAAGTGATGGACGCAATCATAGAAAATACTACCTGGAAAGAACATCTGTGAAATATGTTTCTAGGCAACGAACCCAAAACATCCAGAGAGAAAGGAAACTTGTAAATTTCAAGGCAGCTGCATGATTGTAACAATCTTAAAGTAGTGTGCAGGACAAAAAGAAGCTGTTAGGAGTATCAGAAGATTTGTCGCAGGAGCAGCGGCAGAATAAAAGTGATACTTACGACTGTGAGGAGCAACATGGAATAATACGATTGGTTGGAACTCTTGGATGGGTTCGTTTTCATGGTGTTCTCGATCAAAAAATAGGGCTATGTTTTACCCCATGCGTAAGATGTTGACCCAGCACAACCAGCCGGGTGCAAATCCTCTGAGCCGGCCACATTTTATTCAAATGACTGTTGCGCAGCCATTATCCATGGGTATTCTTGCGAAAACGTCCAACAATCCTACGTATACTTTTCTTGCTGCTCTTTTCAATGAAACACTTAGATCGGGATGACGTATGTTCCAAAATTTATGCTGAAATATCAGATTTGTTCACACTAGCTGAAGCATCTGAGCAAAATTCCACAGCCCACTTCAGCTGGACTTCTTCATGAAAATTCGAACAAGTCTTCTCAGGTGTATGTACGTGATACAGCAGATGCTCGGAAGCACAAAAAGACACTCTCTTCAGAACATTCATTGGCAATAGTGGATTGAAAAGCAGTCAAATGGAATAGATAGTAAAAAGGTAACAGGCAAGCTCTGATTCCTACGCTAGAGATGCAGAAGGCCGATTTGATAAAAACCGCTTTGTGGAAGAGAAGCAGTGGAACGCTGAAGCATCTCAAGTAGGGGATACACGAAAATGCAAGAGGCCTCAGCGTTCTAGATTTGGTTGACTGCCACGCGACCGCCCGCATTCTCTTCCTCCACCCTAAGCGCTCAATAGTGGACCCTCAGGCTTCATCCAATAAGCCTCTCACTGTCTATCGCGCTCCCTCGATTCTACACTACCTCACTTCTTGTGCTTCCTTTGTGCATGACATGTCTCTAATTCGATAGATTTGTGCTGGACACTTTTTGAGTTATCCCAGATTTCTCAGAGTCTCAAATTCATGAACAACCGCGCAACATCAGGTGCTACAACAGCAGGTGCAACAACAGCAGGTGCAGAACGACGGACAGATAGACATCGAGACGATGAAAAGTCAATATATTCATAAAATTTAGGGTAATCGAACGGGCAATGAGCCACAGGGTGGGATATTAATGTAGGTATAAACGTGTATGTATGTATGTATGTATGTATGTATGTATGTATGTATGTATGTATGTATGTATGTATGTATGTATGTATGTATGTATGTATATGTATGTATGTATGTATGTATGTATGTATGTATGTATGTATGTATGTATGTATGTATGTATGTATGTATGTATGTATGTATGTATGTATGTATGTATGTATGTATGTATGTATGTATGTATGTATGTATGTATGTATGTATGTATGTATGTATGTATGTATGTATGTATGTATGTATGTATGTATGTATGTATGTATGTATGTATGTATGTATGTATGTATGTATGTATGTATGTATGTATGTATGTATGTATGTATGTATGTATGTATGTATGTATGTATGTATGTATGTATGTATGTATGTATGTATGTATGTATGTATGTATGTATGTATGTATGTATGTATGTATGTATGTATGTATGTATGTATGTATGTATGTATGTATGTATGTATGTATGTATGTATGTATGTATGTATGTATGTATGTATGTATGTATGTATGTATGTATGTATGTATGTATGTATGTATGTATGTATGTATGTATGTATGTATGTATGTATGTATGTATGTATGTATGTATGTATGTATGTATGTATGTATGTATGTATGTATGTATGTATGTATGTATGTATGTATGTATGTATGTATGTATGTATGTATGTATGTATGTATGTATGTATGTATGTATGTATGTATGTATGTATGTATGTATGTATGTATGTATGTATGTATGTATGTATGTATGTATGTATGTATGTATGTATGTATGTATGTATGTATGTATGTATGTATGTATGTATGTATGTATGTATGTATGTATGTATGTATGTATGTATGTATGTATGTATGTATGTATGTATGTATGTATGTATGTATGTATGTATGTATGTATGTATGTATGTATGTATGTATGTATGTATGTATGTATGTATGTATGTATGTATGTATGTATGTATGTATGTATGTATGTATGTATGTATGTATGTATGTATGTATGTATGTATGTATGTATGTATGTATGTATGTATGTATGTATGTATGTATGTATGTATGTATGTATGTATGTATGTATGTATGTATGTATGTATGTATGTATGTATGTATGTATGTATGTATGTATGTATGTATGTATGTATGTATGTATGTATGTATGTATGTATGTATGTATGTATGTATGTATGTATGTATGTATGTATGTATGTATGTATGTATGTATGTATGTATGTATGTATGTATGTATGTATGTATGTATGTATGTATGTATGTATGTATGTATGTATGTATGTATGTATGTATGTATGTATGTATGTATGTATGTATGTATGTATGTATGTATGTATGTATGTATGTATGTATGTATGTATGTCATGTATGTATGTATGTTGTATGTATGTAATGTC